TCACACTGCTTAGGTGGATTCACTGCATCAGAACAGTTTAATTTAGGAGAGGCATTAATCTTGAGTTGTGCTCGATTGTAGGAACTCGAAGAGGGCATTAGTAGCCACCAGCCCGGTTTGGCAGCACTAAATCGTACTGGGGATAGGATTGTCCAGAAACTCTCCCCGACAGATGGAAGCTTCCTGAAAGACAAGCTGGCAGGGTTAAACCAACGCTGGACTGCGATCATTGCAGAAGTGACGGATAGGCAACCCAGGTGATTTGGCTGTGATTGTTTGAGGGCACAGGAATAAACATATTTTAGGTAGAATTTTTTAAGATACAATTCGATGAGTTCAAAGTTCTTTTTTTGTCTGATATTACAGTAGGAGTTTTACTGACACTGATAACCTCCACTGCCCACGGTTCCTCATAGTCTCACTTTTCTACTCAGATATCATGTGTGTAAAAAGCTCCTTTATATCTTTTATTTCTGACTGTATATTGTGAAGTGATGATTATGGTAGGAAATTAAAGTAATTGAAAGAACACACCAAACCTCTGGTCTGAAGGTCTGGGTTCAAGGTGAGGCTTTCCCTTTGCTTATTTCTTGACTGAACCTACATTCGTAATTTCTCTCACTACATTATTCTTAGTGTCAAAGGGTGTACTCTATCCATGTATGTCAGTGCTTTGCAAATAATAAAGTTCTTCATCTATATAATATAATAAATATATTATTGTTAATTTTATGTCACATTATGTTACAAGGCCCCAGAATTTATTAGGGCATCTTCTGGTAGCAAATATGTTTTATTACCAGTGAATATAATACTCAACATTATCCATATTTTATAAATTTAAAATTATTTCAAGTTATTTTCTGAGACAGTTAAGATTTAATGAGCAATTTCTCCTTTTCTTAATTTATTTCATCTCATTAATGATCTTTTTGTTTGTCATTGGTAGTTTTGGGTTAAAAAGTTCAAGATATTTTTTTCTGCTAATTTTAACGCTGTAGATGATGCATTATTTCAGTGATAAGCTATTTTGTTAAAGGACTGTTGAGGACTTTATCAGGGTCCAGTATTATAATATGACCTAAAATATTCAAGTATGATGTAGCCTATTGTGGCTTTTTATTAAAAAATTTATTAGATTTTGTGTTTTGGTAAGAGACAAATAATAATTTGTATGTTTTGGTTGAGAGATTACCACGTGGCAGAGAGAGTATTTGGTACTTTGCACACAGAGCCTCATTTAATCTTCACAACTACCCTCTTAGGGAACTGTTAGGCCAATTGTACAGCTTTGAAAACTGAATGTCAGAGAGAAGAGCTTAAGTAATTTGTCCAAGGTCTCATACAAACTAGGTGATGGTGCTATTTTGTGCTCTCAAATACGGTGCCGTACAAACTTGGGAAGACCACAGAGCTTCCTCCCAAAGTTTTCTCCTCTGTAAATGAGAACTCTTTCACCTCAGAGGATTGTCATGAAGATTAAATGAGGCAGTGTTTGTAAAATGCATATGACCTGACTATTCCTAATAAACTCTTAAAATATCTATTTCTTATGAAAGTAAGCTAACCTAGAACTTTTTCCCCAAGCATTTTATTGCTACATTTTGCCAATGATAGATTCATTGATTTGAACAATATTTATTGAGCCTTGTGTTTAGGGGGATATAAGTATGACTAAGGGACTAAGGGACTAAGAAGAATAAAATGATTGAAGAAAACATCATTAGGAAGATACAGTGTTGTCACAGAGACAGGTGTGATGGGCTGTGGAATTTAGGTATTAGAGAAGAGGGATACTGAAGCTGTTTTTTTTTTTTTTGAAGCATTTATAGCAATTTCCCATGATATCTTCTAGGGAGGGCCTTTTAGGAAAAAGCTGTAGAACAGGCAAACGTGGGCGGCATGAATACCATGGCCGTGTGAGAGATCTGCAGTGGATCAGATGGAGAGGAGAGTTCAGAGCACCAGTGGGGTAGGATTGGGAGCTGAGGGTCCCATAAGATCTTACATGTCATGCTAATCAGTTTGCATGGAGAATTCTTCTAGCTTGAGATGATGTTTCTCCTTGGCTTTCTTAAGGAAAAACGTGTACTTCCTGGCAGGGTATTAACAATAAATGCAGAAATTTTCCTAAAGATTTTCAAATGGATCTCTGTGGAGTGTGCCAATTATATCTCCTGAAACTAACAAGGTGAAGCTAATACTTATTTAACTCATTTTGGGGAAGTGAAAAGAATAATGAATCTCTTCCCCAACATCTTATATTTTGACCAAAGCAGTATTTGTTTTCATAAATTCTTGTTAAACTTCACTTCAAGTTTGTAATCTGTCTTAAATAGGGACCACCTTGGAAGAGCTCATATGTATACTATTATCAGAGTCACTGAGAATTATCACATAGTTTAATTTGTTTTTGTGTTTAATGCCTGTAGTTAAATATTTGCACAGTTCAGCAACTTATGGTGTTATTTCTTAATGAGCAATTGTTATCTACTGTTTGAACATGAATTTATAATTTGTTTTTACTCTTAGGGATAAGATTTAAAATGCAGATTATATTTAGCTAGTTTGCAGATAAAAATGTTGGGTGACTCAAATATGTCTTATTGAAATTGCTTGATAATGTTAGTTTCTTTCATAGTTCTATTTTCAAAGTACTAAATCTGTCATGATTATGAAACATTGGCAATTAAAATTTCAACTTTTTTTTTGAAACAAAAGGCCCATAAAAGTATTTTGGGTGTTTCTAAAG